AAATAGAAATGATGATTACTGTTCTTCCCAGTGAAAATGGGCAAATGGGCTCTTAACCCATTTAATCTTACGATTAAATCATAAATGTCTATCAGCATTTTGTATTAGCATATGAGATAAATGTCTATCAGCATGCACTGGACCAGGCAGGAGTCTATACATCTGGCAGTCAGGGAGTGGGGATTTGGTTTTGTGGTTTTTGCTTTTATTTTTTGTGTTTAATCCTTTCTCAACTTTGAAAACAACAAGGTTGACACCCTTTCTGTAATGTGTGGCATTTTAAAACCTCAAATGTCACCCATCCCCTTGCCTTTTTGATGAATTTGTGCATTCTGTGAATGCTTATGAATCAGAGAGCAGAGGAAAACTGTGTATTGCGTTCAGTTACTGAATTTAAATAAAAAACCCTGTGGTTATTGATTACAGCAAATACTCACCTTCTGTGTTTTTGTAGAAATCTCTTGGAGGTTCCAGTATTTAATCATGTCATAGGATTTTAAGAGAGCTGGCTAGATTCACCTTGCATGCTGTGGAGGCCAACGTGATCTGTGGGCAGAACAACAGGAGTGCATCAGAGCATTCAGGTGAGGCATCTGCCTCTCTGCATTGGCGATTGGCGATACAGAGAGTTTTGGGGTGTCTCTGCGGTTGCATGTACTGTTGGCAATGCAGGGACCTGGCCAGTCTGCACCTTGGACTGTTACCCTCCTCTAAGACTGGGATGGATACTAGGAGGCATGGGACTCTGAGGGTGTCTGTGATACGGATGGCCAGCATGCTGGTATTGAATACTGGATAAATCAGCCCTCTTTTGATGGTAAATGGTCAGGAGAGGTTGTGTTGACTTGAACTTGATTCTGACCCTCTTTGTTTCTGGTGGCAGTCGTATACAAGGGGCAAAGGCTTTTACCATTTAGCTGGTGGTTTGGGTTTTGTTTGTTTTTTTCATGTAGGTGCCCAGAAAGTACACTGCTGGTGCAGGCAGAGGATCATTGCAGTAAGAGCTACTTAAAGAACCAACCAACCAACCTAAAAAAACCTAAGGTGCAGAGGTTGTCCCTGACTGACCTGCCGCACTTGACCATCGGTGCAAGGGAGGAGAGCACCTGTGTGCCTCTGCTATCCTTGTGTACGCTGAGCCTGGCTCTGCGAGGGTGCAGGTTTACTTGTCTGCCATTTTGTGTCTCCTGTGTCTGGTTCTGTGAGCAGAGTGTGAACCGTGATTGGAATAAGATGCCCTTGAAAAATCTGCCAGGGATTTGTGTCATGATTGACAAAGGAGTTTTGTTACATTTGGAAGATGTAGTTATATGTAAAATAAAATGAAAGGCTGAAGCGAAGTAATTGTCCTTGTTTGGGAAAGCTAAGCAAGGGTTTGTTTCAGTTCTGCTGTTAGGGAAGATGATACTAGGAAATAGTTAAATTCTGTGTCTATTAAGTTCTAATGGAAGCTAGAGCATACACAAACATGCTGCTGCTCCTTATTGGCCGATAGGGACTGTGATCATCATATTCTGTGACCAAAGGTATATTATTGAAAGAACAAATTTTAGCTTGGTTTTTTGGTTGGGTTTTTTTGGGTTGGGTTTTCTTTTCATTACACTTTTAAACCTGTTACTGAACTTTGGAGTTCAACGTATTAAAGTTCATATGCAGTTAGCAAAATGGTGCATTTTCTGTATAGAAGCTGAACCTTAAATTACAGAACTATGTACCAGCAAATTATGTAGTACCTTTCTGCACATCACTGATTGCATAATAACAGTATGAATTTCTGAGGGAACAGTAACATGTTAAACGCTTAAATAGCCCCACCTTTGTTCGTTCCTCATCTGGCATCACAGGCAGAGAAAATAATATACGCCGTATAGTTGATCTTTTTTCAGCGCTTTTGTACAGGCTGAAACATATTTTCTTTGGCACATCACTGCCTTTTGGTAAAATGAGGTGAGAAAGTTCAATTTTCTGTTATGAGACAGCCCAAACCCAGCATGTTTTCAGGGTCCAGTTTTGAATTTTTGTTCACATTACAAATTGATGTGAAATTGCAACTATTGAAGCTTTCTGGCATGTACAAAACATTTGTTCGGCTAGAAGATGAGTTGGGGAAAAAGAGCCAGCGGTGACATGTCCAGATGGGAGCATGCTGGAGTGCTGCGAAGCGGAACACCTGGCATCAAGGAGCAGGGAAATGCAGTCCCTTGCTGTGTGTCTGCATGCAGGGCACCTGTGAGAGCGGGCGTTCTGGCTTTGTTGAAGACGACCACTTCCGAGATCTGGATTCTTTAACGCTGATGCTTTGTGAAATGTGATGCTTTGTGAAACGTGATGCTTTGAAGTTAGATTAAGAAAAAATAATATTGCAGACCCTCTACCAGTAATTAATTTGATATTTTTGGAGAAGATGATCTTCTAGTCAACAAAGTTTGTAAAATTGTAACCAGTCTTTAAATGGATTTCGGTTATTTCTCAGTACCATAGCCCACGCCTGCAGCAGTAGCCCCAGGCTGCTCCCAGGTGGTTGATCATTAGCGGTGGGGAAGACTTTTCTCCCACTGTGGAACCTGTGCTAGGTAGGACATCGCATGGAGGGGTTCTTGGGCTTTGTACGTTTAGTCAGGTCTCTTGGTAAGAGAGTTTCACATTGCTTGCTTTCAGTATTGTTTCTGAATTACACGCTGTGAATGTTGTTGTTTGGTATAATGAGGATTTATTTTTTTGAAGTCCAGAATCAATACTGACTGGATTGTTCTGTGCAGAAATCTGAAGATAGAATGAGGTGGAATAGTTGATGTATAACAGTTGATGTGTAACGTGTCCGTGTGTTACTGATCTGCTGACAGCTTCAGAGATCACATTGGTCCATCTGCCTTGATGAGAAATTCTATAAATCACAAAGTTGAAGACTTTTTAACCCATTATCATTTTTTACCTTGTTGTTACCATTTAATTGTTCAGTCATCAGGAAAAAACTTTATTTAGTTCTTTCTAAACCCTGGACCAGCTCTACCATAAGGTGATACCACTGAGGTGTAGGATTACTGCAGGGATTAACTGTAGTGTCAGTGTTCGTAAATGCATATTTAATGTAAAAAGGGGAGAGGTGATATGGGGAAGAACCTCAGTATTATGAAACTGTTGTTATTTTTCTTATTTGGTAACTTTAACCACTACAGATCTCCCTATTAGAAATGAGGAATCAGTTTAGTTCAGAGTCTGTATTAGTAAAAATTTGCTTTTATTTGCCCCGGTTTGTTTTATCTATCTATTTTCTTTAAATAGCCATGAATTAAGCTTTGCAGCAGGACTGCTAAGATCCTGCTGACTTCAGTGAGGCTTGACATAGTCCATAAACAATGTAGAGTATTTATGTTAGTAAATGTTGTCGTTTTGAAATTTATCACATGCTCATGAATAACATTTTTCCTTCTCACCCACTTCTCTGGAATGACTAGACATACAGCTGAAGTAGTGGCTTTAGTAACTTTGCTGGTAATCGGGTTAACAATTCAATATGCAATAATGAGGCTTCTTTTAGCTGAAAATTGGAAATGAAAATAATGCTTATATCTCATTGCTATAATCCTGTGCTTTTGATACTCCTGATACTTGCTTCTTTATTTAAAAAAAACAACAAAACTGTTACCATGTAACACAGTCATCATTCTGATTTATTCAAAATATACGTTTTTTTAGTTAAGTTTCTTATACTGTATTCCGAGTTGTGCTTGATACTTTAATGGTGCTTTAAAGGATACCTTACTAAACTAGGAGAGTAGCCTATATTTTTCCCAATAAAAATTAACTTTTGAAATTAGTTTCTTAATTGTGGCGTTTGTTTCTGAGTTCCTCTTAAGAAAAATGAAAGTTTAGGCTCCCTTTCAACCTAGTGTTTAAGGGTGTGCTTAACTTCTAAACATCCGAGTAGGTTCACTGGCTTCAGTAAGTACACACACCATGAGGCTTTTGACAAATTCACTCACTGCAGCTTCTTCAAGAGCTGCTGCTGCGGGGCTGGTGCTGGGCAGAGGGAGCCGGGGAGCGCACAGGATCCGTGCTGATGGGCTTTGAACACAGCGGTGTCAGTGGTAGCACCACTAGCCGAATTAAATTTGCAGAACTGCTGTCCTTGCAGAACCCGAGCGTTGTAATTTAGAAAAGTCATAATGGTCAAAGATTGCTCCAAAGCAGTGATAAAGCAATTTTCCAACTATAAATGCTGTTATTTAAGTAAATATGGTCTAAATGCTTTCTTTTACAACAGGATTGAAAGTAAGTCTGAACAAACTTACTTATATTCAAAGCAGTACAGAAAAGTGGTTATCCTTTTTTTCCTGCAGAGTATGCAATATGGAGGTGTCTGCCCTTGAAGCCCCTTCTTATTCTCCCCTAACTTTTAATTTTGGTGACTAATTTCTTCCAAAGCTGACAGAGTGACAGAAGTCTCACAGTTGCTGAATTCCTACCACCTTTGGAGCAGGCCAGGGATGGGTGCAAATGACCTTATTAGTTCCCAGAAATGCGGAGTGGTTAGGCAGAAAAGCTTTAGGACATTGTCTCTTATTATAGATTGCTTTTTCAAATACATATCTTCAAGAATAATATGTTTCCAGATGTATACATTTACAGAGTGAATCCTGTTGATATACTGCTAGATAGAAAACATGTATTTTAATAGTTATAACTACATAAATATATTTGATCTATAATTAAATTTTGTTTTGCTTTCAGTAGTAGTACATGATACGACAGAATTAAACTAATCTGTACATATATGATATGCATTTTAAACTAGCTGCTGAAAATTGGCTGTAGAAACTAGAAATGTCTAAATAACTTCTTTCTTTTAAAAAGTGTATTTTTTTTCATTTGGTGTTGATTAATAGACTGTTGTAGAAGATTGAGTAAGAGTATGCTATTACGGTAAAATGGTATTAAAAAAAGTTGACCTGAATCCTGCCTTTGTCATTTTTGTGACCTTTATATTCCTTCCTCATTAGAACTATGCAGCACTGATACAGCAACAAATTAATGAGGACAAACAAAACTTGAGAGAAGAGACTGTATATGGAATCCAGCTCACAGAAGAAAAACTTAATGACTTCCGTGATGAACAGATTGGGCAGCTGAAGGAACTGATGGATGAGGCTACCAAACCTAATAAAAAAATGACCATTTCTAAAGACTTGGAACACAAAAAGTAAAAGGGTTTAAAAATTGTTTTAATGCATACAGAAGCATTTTGAAACTTTCTTTTCCAGTTGGACTTAAATGTGGTTTCTGTGGAATAATGGGCACTGCTGATACCATAACTTGTCTGAAACAGATATTTCTGGCTATTTGGCTTTCTATGCAAGAATAAATGTTAAAATGGAATAATCACAACAATTTTATGTTAATTGCAATATTCTTTTTCTCCTAATGGAGCGTGGAGACTTCAGTAAAAGTAAATGGACATTTTTAAAATAGAAAGGTTTTTTGTTTTTTTTTTTTTTTTTTTAAATCTTAGCAACCATGGGGCAAAGCATCTTTCTGTTTGTGTATCGTCCTCTGCCTTAATGGAAAGGATGCAATTAGCATTTGTTTTCTGATGTGGATTCCGTAGAGGAAGAACAAAAGTATGGTACTAGAGCGGGCTTATTTCAATGGAAAGAAATGAGCAGTATTAGAAACACATACTGCTGTTGAAATTGAAAGTTGGTTTTCTTCTTGAGCTTTATTGTGAAATGTGCTTTAAAATAAAAGATGTAGTTCTTTATTTAATTGACCTTGAAGGAACCACTGACTTATGAAGAAAATTCTGCACTTTTTTCAAAGCTAGACTTAGATTATTGTTAGTATCTAAAATTTTAAAAAAACATTCATGAGTTGGTTGTGCTGTAGTTAGAATTCAAACGCTCTTTAAAAGCTCAGTATCTCGTATTATTCAATATTTTATACAGACCAGAATTTGTAAATTCCTCAATCACAGAAATTATCCTGTTGATAATACTGTATAACAAACATCTGTAACTTATAGGTGGTAGTTTAAGTCTTCATCAGAACAATATGTGCCAATTGTAATTCTCATACTATTGTGACTAAAAAAAGTCCTACTTTTTTATCTGCTAAGAAAAAACACCCCATTTCTGTGCAAAAGACAGCTTTCATTTCATATTCCAAACCTAGTCTTTTATTATTAGTTATGTTCTATTTCTGGACCTTTCCCTGTCTGTTACCCACAGCGTGTTGAAGACAACATAATTTCTTTCCTCTTGGGGGATAACAGCTTTGACAAGTAAGCACATATCCATCTGTCTCAAGTTGTAACAACATGCTGTTTGCCAAAGCTACGCTCCTGGATCCTAACTGGGGGCAATTGGGGGAGCAGCCTGCTTCTCTCTCCCTTATCAGTCTTCCCAATTCTTTGCTAGGATTTTAGGTTGCAAGTTGTTAATTGCTATTAAAAAGTCAACTGCAAGATGCCCATGCAACTTACGGTTTCCTTGCTACATCTTCTTCTGCTGCAACTTCCGCTGCTTGTGCAGCAGAAATATCCTTTAGCCTCAAGGGCCTAATCCAAACAGGGATAGAAGGATGGAGATGACATCCTCTCTGCAGGGCTGAGGCTCACAAGTCCTGGTTCTTGGTGCTTCAAGGGTATGGTTGGAGAGAACGGCTGCTGCCTTCTGGCCTGCTGCGTACCTAGGTCTTGCCCCAGCATCAAACTGGGGAGCAGATTGGGTGTGCATGTAGGAAGCTTGAAAATTGTCTCCGATACTGCCATTCGCACATACCTAAAACTTTTTAAACTTCAAAGGCTGTAAAAATGTAATCCAACTGCAAAGTTCTAGGGCATAAGAATGTATTCTGTTGCACTTCCATCAGATGTACAGTAACCACTAATTTTTCATCACTAGATCTACTCAGTTTTAATATCAAAAAGTGTTTGACAACAGTTTGTTTCCACTCGATTGCTAGTACGTGTGCCTACTTTCCAGTCAATATCCACATTGCTTCAAATTTATTTCAAATACTGCAATTTAGAGCACAGTTACTTTTATCAACATGTTTAATGAAACGTGTTAGTTCAATGAAACAAGTTAGAATACTTGTTTTGCATCTGTCTACTCATGTATGTACCTAGATAATGCACATTTCTAGAGGCTAAATTAATTTATAATGAAGAACTGCTATTTGGTATGAAAAATTTAAGCTTATAATGAGACCTAAAGTGAGTTGGAGGTGAGGGTAAACACCTTTACATCCATGGTCCCTTTTCTAGTAAATCTGACAACCTTTTTCTTTCATTTCCAGTGGTAGCTCATATTTCGTACAATGTTTGTATTCTTGTTTAAAACAACTCTTACAAAAGTCAAAATTCCACAATAGGAATGCAACATCTTTAAAGATAGCTGGCTTTAAGACAGCCAGTTCTAATAGTAAGGCATGCTGTGATCCAAGCAGTGCTTGTCCAAGTGGTGGGTACGGGTGGCCCCACAGAAGCTTTGCAACACCAACACCCGCATGCATTAGTGAAATTCTTTGATTTACAACTGTGGTTAATGATGATTAAGTTGAGGAAGACAATGGGCTTCTCGTCCTGTCTGCAGAAAGGTGGAGTGATGAAGATGCTTTTACTTTAATTTTTTTTTTTTAAGGTATAGGATACTTTTTGTGGGGAATTCTACATAGGGTTTGATGGATAATGAACAAAGGAAGGCATCCATCAAAACTACTTCAAAACCACAAGCAGCGTGCTATTTCAAATGGCAGAAGAGTTGCTTAGAAAAAAGATACTAATTACCTTATAATGAAAAATAGCTATGATCACTTCAGAAATGAGTACGAAGTTTTAAGCTGTGTTCTGTGTGTGTTGGTGTGGATTGCTGTTACACAGCTAAATGCTGGAAAACTCCTACCACCCTTAAAAGACGTCTCTTCATTCAGCTTATCCATTAAAAAAGATCCTTTGTATTTTGTTGATCTTAAATCCATTTGGCTTTCTAGAACTAAAAGAGTGATAAAATTCATTGGTTAATTTGGCTAAACCTTATCTGTGGTAACACGTTATGTGATCACCTGCCAGCTGGTAGGAGTTGGAGGGAGCTGAAGTTTTAGATAGCTGGAAGAGGCTCGAGCTGAAGTCTTACCGATAAGCAAACAATTTTCAGAAATCTGTCTCATTAAAAATTACCAGTTTTGATATGCAAAATACAAGTTAGACATCTTAAAAAGAACGACTAAAAATGTCATTCTTTCAGCATTTTATTATTTCTGTGATGCAGGTTTATGCTTTTTTAACTGTCTGTCCAACAAGAGCTGTTAGAACCTGATGTTTCCCTCTTAAAAATAAATTAATAATTTAATGTATTGAAGGTAGGATATATGGAGGAGTTTAATTTCTCAGCTATTTTGGACTTACTTTAATCTTTTTGAATTATTAGTGGACTTTCTGTTCATCTTGGCTATGTATTTATGAGAGGCTGGTTATTCACTGATGAGTCAGTGGACGAGTTTTCATTGGCTTCTAGGTAAAAGTATTGAACAATTAGTGAAGGAACAATACCATGCCTTTCCCTGCCTGTTACCATCTATTTTAATTTTCCTCTCTATAGCCAAACTAACAGCGGAGGGAGGGCTGAATCTCTCCGCAGACTGATTTACTCCAAGCATGAACACAGAGGGTCCATGTACCTTTGAGGAAGGGTGAAAGCTGAATCTCTGTAAAAGGCATCTCCCATTCCAGGGCAAAAGATGTCTCTACATGTCATCCCGCTTAACTGTTGATTTTCAGAGCTCTTGGAAAGGGTTTCAGGGTAAATCCTTCCTGCTGGAGGCTATACGTGCAGCAACACAGGTTTTGCAGGGCTTGTTGGGTAACAGAACTGCCTGACCCACCTCCTACCAATCCGTGTCGCAGTGCTGGACCGGTGCTGCCGGTGTTTGGTACCCAAGAGCCTCACAGTGAGGAATGGTGGTACTGGGAGGTCCTCCCCTTTGAACCACATCAAGAACTTCACTGTAAAAACTGATGCAAACCAAATAGCTGGTGTTAGAAGTGACAATAATTGCATTTGCAAATGATCTGCTCTTTTTCGTGGAGGTTACATACCTGCTGCGAAACCACTGGCTTCGGTAGGGACATTTTCAGCAGTTTCAGTGGCCACAGCTCTGCCCTGGGAACAGACTGGACAGTGCTGAGTCCTTCCAGCTTTTCCAGTGGTTTGTGTCTACCTAGTAACACACATGAAGATCACAGAATTTAATTTTATTTGGATGCAACCATTATATAAGTATAATACAAAGTATTCTTTGTTCATTGAAATTGAGAGTTATAAGTCAATGTATAAATTCAATGTATAAATGACTAAGAATGGAATGGTTTTGCCACTTGTAGCAGTGCATGTTGTGAGTAAATGTCAGGTGTTTCAACAAGCCCATTTACGTGATACATGATCCTACGCAACGGATGCGTGTCTGGGGAGTTCAGTGTTTAAACTGCTCTCTAACAATTTCAAAGCATGTACTTGAGACTATAAAACAAGAATCCTTATTTAATAAAATGACCTTTAGATACTGAATATCTGTCAACTTGTTATAAATGCTGAGGAACATCGAGACAAGTGCATATTACTACTGTAAAGCCCTTAATAAGTAGTTTGTTGAAATACCACCATTTGCAACACCATTTCCAGCACAGATGAGCCTTCTGGTTTATGCCAATTACACAATGAAGTGAAATCTGAATCATCTGTTAAGTGAGCTAACATATTTACAATTTTTCCCCGAAGGTTACTGGAAAAACAACTAGTACAGAATCTAAAATATTGGTATACCTTTATCCTGAGAGATTAACAGCAAAATATGTAGCAGAAGGTAAGCTGGCAGTACTCTGTTGGGGTTGTGCCAAAGGCAGGATATCACTTAGCTTTACTCTGGTGGAAGAATGTACAGAATCTATAGTGTAGAAGGTCTGCCAGAGCAGCAAAAGCTGGCCATGCTCTTCCCTTGTACAACAGACCCGCATCAACAGTAGGATGGTGCGGTCAGGAATCGGTGAGTAACCCGAGCGGGTGACAGACCGGGGTGGATCCTTCCAACAGGCTCTGCCAGCCAGGCTGGGCTTTAAACTGCGCGTGGCGAACCCAAGGCACACCGTCTGCCAGCATCCAGGCTTAGGCTTGTGGCCCAGCTGGGGTTGAAGAGGGCTGCTAAAAGAGTC